GGTCATGCAAGACGCTGAATCAATGCATTTCTTCAAGAATATATCAGGCTTGCAGGAACATTGACAACTACCCCATCGGACAATGTACATGTCCCACTTCGCCATCATTGAGAAGTCGGCGGTCGTTGGAAGGAAGATAGACAATAGGTGTGGCGCGGAGATGTCGAGCCCACTTAAGGACGCCGTAATGGACAAGGGTCACCTATCCGAGCTTGGTTGTTGAAGTCCAAGAGTGTGGACGTGGACCGGACGTCTTTTGTAGGGACCCAACGGTCTGTTGCTTACGCAGTGCAGGGTGTCGATCACTTCAGCAGAACTGGTCCGCTTTGAGAAGTGATGGGGTGGTTGGGGCAGTTCCGTGTGCCCGCTGGTGCTGGCCGTGTCATTAATTATAATTATTGGTTGGAGGCAGCATAATGTGTTTTGTGATTACTATAGCTCATGATCAAGTCGTAAATGCCTTTGGACAGTCGTAAAATCATCCAAGACGTCGTCCCACCACCGAATACGGGACAAATTCTCCAACATATCCGTTGTAGGTGGTAGCGGAACACATGAAGAAGCCTCCTTCGTTGTAGTAGATTTCTTGAGCAACGCTTGAATTGTGCCTTGCATTGCTTTCACGACTTGCTGGAGAAGTTGAATACCCTTGGCGGTAACCCGTCCTAGGTGATTCGTCGATTTCTCCCAGAAATCCATGAGTGGGGCATATACGATGTATAATTACAAGTAGTCGTTTTTCTTGATAGTATAAGCGCGACGGATATAGGGGATGAAAGGAGGGTTGGAACCGAGATACTGTGGATGATTAATGTAGTCAAAGCGTCCCCAGGAGCCGTCGAGTCGTCGATAGTCTGGGTTGGTGTCCATACGGAGATGGTTTATAGGTGCGGTAGCCCAGCTAGAAACTCTTTCACCGACTCATTCGGGGACCAGAGCTCGAAATATTCATCGCTAAGCTTCACATAGCGACGCGAGGCCACGCGCTGATTGAAGGGCTCGTCGAGTTGGATGTTCAAACCAGCAAATGGTTCTCAGCGCAAGGAGTAGAGCTGTTTAGTTGCCGGACATTGAAGTCGGTGGTACGGACACGCCGGATCCCCGCCGCATCCGCCGTCCTCCTCTACCTAGGTTGTCGTCCGCCTTGTGTTGGGGTGAAAGTCCTGGCGCTGTGACGGCACAGCGTCATATGATCAGTGATTTGTCAGAGTCTAACTGGAAGACTCTGACTAAGCCAGTCATCTGCCCAAGTTCTCCTCCCCACCAACCACCAGCCCTAGGCTCCTGTCATGCACATGCTGGGTCGTGGCCAAGGCTTCTGCTAGTTGTCGCAAAGCTGGGTCGTGGCCAAGGCTTCTGCTAGTTGTCGCAAAGCTGGCGTCCTTGTCTGTGTCCGGACTGGCTAGGCGGAACCTCTGGGAAATGCCATGCCGCGTCTTCTGCTCTTCCTCACCAATGCTGTTGCGGTTTCTCGCGGGTGTGGTGGGCAGTGACGAAGACGAGATGGGCCTGCGAGCGATGAGTATGGCGTCAGAATCACCAAGATGCCACAACCACATTTACTCTCTTCTTGACCGCCAGCCATGTCGGGCTCCAGGATCCCATCCCCATCCAAGGTGCCTCACCTTCCGGTAGGGCTAGCCGTTGTTTATTTGTGTCGGCTAGTTCGGGCAGTTATTGCCGCAGAGGCGTGCAGTTGCCAGCTTCAAATCTTGGTAAGCTATCCCATTTTTTCAGTTGCGCAAGTTCATGATGCATGAGCTCACCTTTACCAAAAGCATTTGGCACATTTAGCAGGCCGGAATCGTCATTGTTGCAGCCTGCAGCTTGCCAGCTTCAAATCTTGGTAAGGTATCCCATTCTTCGAGCAAGTTCACGAACTCACCTTAATTATATAACCAAAAGCATTCAAGTTCGGCGTGTCAAGGAGGATGAAGGTGTTTTGAATGGTGCATTCGATGGACTTACAGACAATGAATTACTGATTCAAAGTTTTGTGGTTGAGTCTTCCAATCAAATTATGTAATTTGATGGTGTGACGAGTGACTTTCTTGGTGTTTTTCGTTCATGTCTGAGCCACTCTGGGTAAGAAATACGATTGGACAGCTATAGAAGTGCCATAATTCAGCTGCTGTTTCCTTAGAATTCCCCGTTCAATACTCGCCTTCATTTATTCTATGCAGAATACAGCCGACTGAGAACTTGGCGCCAAAAATTTCGGGGACTCCCTGGACTTCAGTGTGGCCATGGTTTCAATCCTACTTGAACTCCTCAAACATGCCCGAGCAACCCTCTCCGCTCGAAGAGAAACGAACCAGGCTTTGATGCTGACTCGAAAATTCCGAACGCCATCTGGGCCGCCCGACAGACAGAGTATGCGATAGTGTGGGAGCTCATGGGTCTCATTGCCCAACATAAGTGCGTGCCAGAGCTAGAGGCAGTTGAAGCATGGCCCTCGTTCTGGAAGTGGAGACTCAACTTGGTATGGTTTGGAGCTGATCTGGAACTGCCGACGCATGCTGTGGACTCGCAAGGTAAAACTGTCAAAGGTCCTGCGTCTCGAGAAGAAATCCAGACCGTAACCGGCTGTGCGCTCATACGATTCACCGATATCGCAGCCGTACTGGCGCCGATTGCAGACGAAAGCAACTTCAAGAGCGAGGCGGAGTCGGAGACTCAGAAGAGGGCTGTTCGACTCATATCTGGTTTATCTGCAGTTTTGTTAGCTGACATACAGCTTGTCGCTGAATTCTTGTTGCACTCGCGCCCGCGCGACAACGGGGTGACCGACAACAAGATCACTGTACTTGGATTAGGCACTCTGCGCCTGATGGGTTACTTGGCCAAACCGCACATAATCGCCATATCAGGCCTCCTGAGTCACAAGGGACCTACCGTGCTCGCCAAACGTCTCATACAGGCGATCGATATTGCGCTAGCTATCTGTGCCTCGCCGGAATCCGAACACCACTGGGGACTGCCTGAGATGATTATGCAGCTCTTGGGCTTTACATACCAGATCTACAAGGACGGAGGGATCTCCGACCCTCAACTGCATGATGCGTTGGTTGCCCAGAATCTATACAAAAGGCTGTTCCATATGTTGGTGGCGCTGCTGGACTCCGACCCGCGCAAATCAGCGAACCGGACATGTCATTGGCAATGGATGCTGCAGTGGCTACGTTCTTGAGGCTAGCGGAAGAGCAAAAGTCCTACCTTCAATCCGGCATTCCGATGCTTATTGGTACTGGCGTCGCATCAGGGGTCCAGATTTTTCTGCGCTACCTCGATTTTTCAACGTGTTTCGACAGCCAAAGGGAAGACCTGGTTGAGGTGATTTACTGTGCGTTGGCGATGTCGATATGGAATCCACGGCTCGTGAAAGCTCTCAACGCTAGATCTTCAATATTCGAAAACTACAACGGTTCAAACGCAGTCTTGAGGCGCTTGTGCTCACACGTGAAGCAAAATGTACGTGGACTATCCTTGGGGTGCAGGCGGCATTACCTGACAGCTCGATGACTCAGATGCAATTGTTTAATCTCATCGAAGGCTCGAAGGATAGCGCTGAAAATAGAAGAGGAATTTGCCAATCTGTGAGTGTCGGTGTCAGTCAGCGTTCTCGTGGATCTTACTACCAGCTTCCAGTGCAAGGCGGTCAAATCGAAAAACGATCTGAAAGCTTGCTCCGCTTGTCTACAAATGTACTACTGCGATGAAGTGTGCCAGCGGGGGCACTACGAGCACATAGATTGTGCTGCCCGACGCTGTCGCAGCACTGGCAGCGTGCGTCTAGTTTTACCCTACAGTCCTTCATGTTGCTGACCATGATCCAGATGCGGAACATTGGGGCATTGCCAACCTGGAGCGCAGGTACATGCGTCAGGTGTTTCAGCACTACTTGAAAGTGTTACGTTCACAAAAGTCAAGGAGATGGCTTCAATGGCAATCGAGACTAGCTTGATGCCATTATCTGTGGTTTACCACTTTGAATGCGAGCCTCTCCGGATTGAGGGCGTCTGGGCTGAGAATATTCTGGAAGTGCAGGGGATGGACATGTGGGAAGTGAATCCGATCGAGACTCTGGACTACGCAACCGGAAAAATTGCCGTCGATTTGGCCGTTTTGCCCTTGTCGGAACACAAATTCATCACCTGGGCCGTACTTCGTCGTTGCAGTCAACCTATGGACCTTGATTGGTGGCGGGGAAGTATGCCCGTGGGTGTGATGTACTGCTAGGCAGTGCTAGCTCCGTGCGACTCTGAGACGGACATATAAATTGTGTTTGTTTGCTTGTTTGTGTTGACGACTTGCTATCATATTGTTGTGTTGTTGTATCGCTTGCTGTACTGAAATCTACTGTTGCAGCCAGCTGTTGCCGCGAACGAGCAAGAACGACTCGCACAAGAACGAGCCAGGTAAGTTCTTGCTTGTGGACTATGTGTGGGGGTGGTTAGGTTAAATTTCATGGTATCTAAGTACGTACTAAGCATGTAAGTAGTCATGTAGTATGTGGTTGCTTAAATGGAGTTAATCATAGAATCCCAATCAGAATCCCAATCAATGATAGTCCCAGAATCTGGTCACAATATTCCAGCCTGGAACATGTGATATATTCCAGGCCGGAATATTGAATGAAAACATGTGGCAGATTAAGAATATTCCACGGATCTGCCCAACATTTTCCGGGCTGTCATATATATGACAGATGGTGAGAAAATTGAGAATATTCCATGGATATTCCTGTCATATTCCAGCCTAGAAGATGGAATGAATACACCCTGTAATATTCATAATATTCTCAACATATTCCAGGGCGGAATATGCTCCATTGCCCGCAGTGTTATCGCGAGCACCTGCTAACCATGACGGACGAGCAAGAGGTGTGCCAATGTCTTTTTCTGATCGTGTTCTCGACTGAGCGTTTTGTAGATGAGCACGTGCAGTGAGGGCGGAATATGCTCCATTGCCCGCAGTGTTATCGCGAGCACCTGCTAACCATGACGGACGAGCAAGAGGTGTGCCAATGTCTTTTTCTGATCGTGTTCTCGACTGAGCGTTTTGTAGATGAGCACGTGCAGTGGTCTTGCCGCCCTCGATCACGCCAATTCAAAATTCTCGTGCGGCTACAGTGTCACCGGCGTTGGAATGGGGGTCTGCGCACGACACGAGTTTGTCTTACCCAACGGAGTTGGAGACCTTCAAGCCGGAGAGCGGTAAGCTCATGAAGCTTTGGTAACACACACGCTAACACTTTTTGCTTTGAAGGTACAGCAACATGGACTATATCTTCGCCAGCTTCATGCGCCATATCGACACTGCTCTCCGCAAGATAATATCCTACGACATAGTTTGTCAATGGATCAAAAAACTCCTCGAGCGCTTGGCGAAACTCCCGTCGTTGGTCCGACTTCAGCTAGCCCTCGGGCTGGTCCGTTTTGCAATCCCCAAAATGCACATCAAGGGCCATTTGATTCTTTGCCAAATCCTTTTTTCCTTGATGCTCATATTGGGCTCCGGAATGACCGATGGAGAGGGAATCGAAAGGCCGTGGAGCATGATTGGAGGGCTGTCGGGGAGTACTCGAGTGTGTGGGCCGGGAACTCGGTGGGATCAGCTTGACGACCATTGGTCGTTTTGGAATTGGACCAAAACTTTATGACTGGGTATGTTTCTTCCCCTGCGGCGGGGATCGGCTTAGCTGATGAGCACCCTCAGCTGCCCTTTTGCGGCGTCGATTAGACAAAGCTCACGCGGAACTAGCCGTTCAAGAGGAGGCTTTTCAGCAGCTCACTATCGGTCATGCGGACCGTGTCCCGGACTGGAAAAAACAGGTCGACGATTTCGAGACGGATAACACGAACTCAAATCCTTATGAATCTAAATCGACAGGTACGACTCTATTACATATTCTTCTTGCTTCCTTATGTCGTCCCAGGCTTGTCCGAAGCAGCTGTGCGGAAATTGTACGAGGAAGAAGAGGCGATTCGAGAGAAAGCCGGTGTCCTGCCTATTCATGACGTCTCGCCGACGGAATTCGTCATTGCCATGTTGGATGTGGAGGCTGATCAGTATGTATTGTCCACTTTCTTGATTTGTTCTTGTCTGACGTCTCCAAGGCGTCGCGTTCGGGCATTGGCTGATTTGCGGAAGTCGAGACGTTCTGCGGAGGGCGTTAGCCTCAAGCAGCAACGCCGCAAGCTCAATCGATCCATCAAGCGCATCCGTACCCTACAGGCCACCTATATGCCCGCGGCTCTGCAACGACTAGACTCCCTGAAGATTAGTCAAGAGACACTCGCGGAACGAGTTCCCTTGCTACCTCCATCGGCCTTATCGACCTTAGAGCACCAGAACGGAGGCTGCAAAGATGGGCTCGTCGAGATTGAGCGCGGGTTGAGAGATGCTCAATGTCGGTCAGCATTGACGGCCCTTCAGCTGCAGCTCCACGTCAAGTCTCGATTACTGACTTACAAGAAAAACAACTCGCGCGCTCAAACCATGAACACCAGGTCGCGAACGTTGGTGGACCAGAACGAGCGCAAAGTCCTTCTTTGCTCCGAGAAATATCAGACCGCGTGGAAGGCGCTGACTCTGATTGCAGGAGGAGCCGATAAGATTAGTTGGCGAAAGCTTGAAAAGGCAGACATTCGGTGTATGGAGGAACCAGAGGACGTGTTGCGCAGAGAAGGAATCCGTCGACGGGAGGAACAGGCGGCGCGCAATCGAGATCTTGGGCTACAGCAAGCAGGACTGCCCCCTTTGCCCAGACCGACAGAGGAGATGGACAACAGTGAGGACGAGGACGGGGAAGATCAACGCGCGGAAGATCTATCGTCTGCTCATCCCGATCGGCAAATGGCGGCGAGGGAGGCCAATGCGCTGTTCAAGCACGGGGAGAGCAGACGCAACATGTCGTGGATTTGGACCAACGCGGGGGACAGCGCTGAAGCCGTAGAAGAAGGTTTGTGATTCGATTCCTGTGCGAACACGCTTCTCAAGAATGTGACAGCTCTCCGAATTGAATGGGCGAATGGCGAGAAGAAGTGATGATCTTGGGGGCCGAATGGGACCGGTTGCCCCTGTCGTTTGGCGCGGAGGAGGCTTTATGGGCAAAACGAGGCGTTGAAGTGGATGTCAGCAAGCTTGGTGGCCCCCAGGCTGAAGGTCTGGTCGCATACGCCGCAAAGCACGCCGATATGTATCGCAATCTCGCGCGTCGGGCGGAAATTATCCGGACAAGGCCGAAGCTTGCCCGGGGCCATCGAGCAGAGCGCGAAATCAACCATGTTTATGTGGACGTTGACGAGGCTGAAGAGGGGCGGCGAGCTGATGGGTTAGTTGAGGATGATGACATGGATGAGCAGGGAAACGACAGTGATGAGGAGAATGAGGAGTAAAAACTGTCTATTTCTTTTTATATATCTATTTTTGCCGAATTGCCGCTGTGCCGAAGACCTCCGGGGCATCACTGACCTGGAAATCAAATTAGAGGACCGGAAATCAATGCCGAATGCCCTGCCACATGTGCCCGGGGGTGATCTAAAGATGGCCCACTTCCTGCGCATTGCAAACCTGGGCCCCAGCCCCGTTTCCTGCGCATTGCACTGGGCTCAGCAGGTGCCACGAAGGCCTCCGGGGCAAGCCGAGCGTAGGTTTTGACCGCGTATAGGAAGGCGCGGCCGCGTTTGCGATCTCCGTTAAACGCAAACGGGGGGGTTTGGTCGTAAGACCAGTTTTGAGGCGACAGTAATGTCACCAAATAACGCATCCCGTCGGGGCATTCGGAGATGCCAAGGCGGTTCGGGAGCTGCCGGAGGTGGTGCGGCAGCGGAAGCCTGGGAAGCAAGGTGGGTGAGGATATTGGTGAGGTTGTCTAGTTTCGCCTCAAGTGCGTCCATGCGCGCGTCAGCGTCCGGAGCAGCTCCGGTAGACATAGCGGGCGTAAAGACGACAAGAGCAGAGGAGGAGGGGTCAAGTGGCAGGGGCGGTGACGAGGGGGGTACGGACTGCATCCGAGCCTGAGTCAGCACCAAACCTGGCAATCTTGACCGGTTAATCCCGTAGAGAGTTTCTTCTGCTGTAAGGGCAACCCTGGAGACTCCGACGAAAGCCTAGCAGGGGAGGATCCAAAGCGTGAATAAAAGCTACGGGAAATACACGGAGGGACCGACCTAGCAGGGGAGGATCCAAAGAGAAGAAACTCTAAGGGTCCGCCTGCTAGGGCGCCAACTATATACTGGTCGTCCGTAACTGCCGACGTAGAGCGCAGAAGGCCTGAGCGGTGTCGCAGGCTCTGTCCCAAGGTGATCGTTGGGAGGGTCTTGATGGATCGGTGATTGTGCGGGCGAAGGAGGCCGTGGACGATGGTCGGGGTGGGTCGGAGCGTCCGAGGGGGCGCCGGTCGGATGCGCCTCGGATGCGTTCGGAGGGTCCGAAGGAGGCCGAAGCGGGGGTTCCCCTGACAACCACTTCTTAGACTAGATGGAGTCATTTGAGAGCCTTAGAAGAATTAAGGAACACTGAGATCAAAGAGATCAATGAAGAATTGAGAGAGATATGGTGAAATTCAGACAATTGAGTTAACAACATTAATGATTGAGTTAATGACAATATTGAGTTAATGAGTTTTATTAATATCTCTTAAACGAATGAAGATATTGATTAGCGGTTTGTACTGGGACGGTTTTCGTGACATTCCGCAACTTTTCCATTTTTGGGTCCGGAGGTGTTGGGGGGCGCATTGGGTGCGTCGGGCAGGCATCGGGGGGGCGGGATCAGTGGATGGCAATGATGACACCGCCATTGTGTTGTGATCATCAAGTTTGATCAGAAATTAATTTATTTGATGGAAAATGATAAAGAATTGGGCTCACCATCGGGGGCAACGTCGAGGACGACGTCGGGCGGACTATTTGACAGTGGCGGGGGTGCCTGACACCGGCGGGCAAGAAGCTCCGCAGCCGACGACAGCGGGTGGCGATCGGCGACGTCAATCAGCGATCGGTGACATAAGTCACGATCGTGGACGACGACGCCGAGGCCATGGGGGCGGCGGCGGGCAGCGCACACGGTAGGCGGGGGCGGGGAGGCAGCCGGGAGGGTGATGGCAGCCTCCGGGCCTCTTTCCCCGCTACCAAGACCCCCCTTGGTAGCCATATTTAGCGGGGTGCCCGCGACTGGCTTAACCCCCTCTAGTTAGAGGGAGAGAGTACCCCCCTCTATCCCTCTAACTAGAGGGTATTAGGGTGCACTATAGGTGATTATAGAGGGTGATTCATACATTATTCTTAGTAGGAACCAATGTCAGGAGTGATCACTTTGGGTTGACCTATTAAACATAGTGTAGGACCTCTGATCAAGTGTCTACTGGCTAACCTAAGACTAGTGACAATGCCCCTGATTGTATTTTGAGGGTCCTATGTAACCCAGGGAGGCCCAAAAGGACGTTGCCCTGACAATCCAGCATGTATTTTATGTTTTTGATTTTTTTTTCTAGCAACAAATATGTCAAACATATCAAGAGATATGCATACTAGATTATAGTTGAATATATTCATAACATATTCATATTTTGCAGCTGAATATGATTATATTATACTACAAATATATTATTGGGTTGGAGCTCTGAATATGATATGATTATAATATATTATGCCCATAAAATAATATAATCATATTTGGCCAGCACTACGCGTGCGCACGTCCGACTGCACATGCCAAGACGCCGCAACTCGGTTACAGTAATAACATATTCCCATCGGATTCGGCTTATGGCTTATGTCTGTGGCTAGGGGGAAAAAATCAAACACATGGGAAGGAGAAAGAAGGGAGAAGAGAGGAAAGGATGGGAGATTAGTGTACATACCTGCTGTAATCTCTGCGAGAAAATGCTCTGTTTTGCGGCTGGGAATGGCGTCGTTGAGCTCGATGGCGGATGCCCAAATCGGGCGGCCATCACACGTCTTCGCGTCGGCGCTGTTCCGTGGCGTATGCCCTTTCGGGGCACCGTCTCCGTTTGGGCATCCGCCCCAGCCAATCGTTTTTCAAACGTTGGGCCTGGACTTGATGGCCCGTCACCGGTCGGCGCCATTTCCGCGGCAGAAGCACGTGTACATCCGGGATCATTCCCACGGACATCGGGCAGCTTTCGTTGACAAATGTGCTGTAGTGCTGCTGCTGCTGCTGCCATTGAACACAATGGACTTGAAGGACAGTGATTAATAAGTAGTGGCCCTCTACATGTATGTAGATCTTCATATGCTAAATATTTTTATATCATGCACTGTAATACATATACATTGTCAGACTGCGGGTCGGGCCGTACAAGAACCTCTTCTAAGAACACGCGCCCAGAACAGAACAGACGGATAGTCGGGCCCGCGAGTACGGCGGGCGGGGTAGATCGAAACCGAAAGGGCCCGTGAACTCGGTCCCTTGCCGAGGTCGGTGGTCGAAGGTTCGAATCGGGTCGTGTCGGGCCCGATGAGTCGACAACGCCTTCTTGCACGGAGTAAGGTAGTTCTTCAGACGATCTAAGCGATAGAGTACAGGGTACACTATCGCGCCTTATATACGCGGGCCCGCAAAGGGGTGATCGGACACCCTGGCCTCTACTCCTCCTCCTCGCCTCCCGTTCCTGACCGCAGAGGGGACGATCGTACATCCCTTGCGGGCCAGGCGCTACTTCTAACCTCCTAGCACTCCTCCCCAGTCCCCTTGTGTCGAGTTGGGCTCGGAGACGGCTCGACGCGTCGTTCTCGGTCACGTGCTTCCCACGTGTGCGTTCCTCCTACTGGGGCGCATGTTCCCCGTCATCACGTGCTGCGTGTTACGGGCCCGCGATGGCCCGACACCAGCACTGGAGCGGACGGGCCGGGTCTTATCCGTGACATACATAACTATAATGCCACAATATTCAAAGTTCTCAAGCAGTTTTCTATGTCTCAGATTGGAGTATCTACCATAGCTATGAGCTGAAAACATGTCCCAACAGCTTAGTGATTTATTTTATTTCTGCGCGCCGTTAGCGCCGCATTTACAGGTCAGCGTGACATATTTGCAAGATCAACAAAATCTTTCAGGGCTCAATAATACTTATTCAATTTGGTTTCCAAGCACAATGAATGCTGTACATATTTACTTACTCAGTATCATATTAGACAAACTACACTGACTAGCTCCTACTGCCAGCCAGCTTCAGCTCCAGTCTTGTGCTCCGGTCACAGTCCCACACCTCGGAAGACACGGGATGTCAGGTTTGTCATCGGATCTTCCCGCATCAGACGCGGGTGCAGTCCCATGCCCATATCTGGGCATAGGCCGCCACAGGCACTGCCCATGAGCCTCGGATTCCGATGAGCTTTGAATCATCAAGCTTTGTTGTCATGTTGAACATTTGGCCTGGTGTTCTGGCATAAAATTTAGGCCAAGTGCTAAATACTTACAGCTTATAAATGGTAGCCTAAGAAAGGTCAAAATCTAATCAATCCAAAGGCAGGATCTAGTACTTATACTGTACTATTTAGATCAAGTGTCCGCGTTACGCGTTATAATGACCAAAAAACTCATCGTTAAAAATTGCCTTAAATCAAAACAAAATTTTTTGGGTCCAAAAAATCAAAAAGTCACAGACACTTGATCTAAATAGTATAGTAGTAGTGTTTGCGACAAACCTCCTCCTCCCATGAAATTAGATACTGTAAGATTTTATTCAATTCGAATGGCCCGGGGGGCTGTGACACATTGATGTCCAAAAACATTCGTATGATGTTCCCCATTTGGCAATTTGGCGTGCCGAACCGGAATTGTGAAAATTACCATTTTGGGAACCCAAAATCCACTTTTTGCTGTGACATACGAAAAAATTTCATATAAAATCGGTCGTGTGACATGTGACATACGAATTGAATAAAATCTTACAGTATACTCACGGCCAATCTGGATACAAGTACATTACCCACTCACTGCTCCCCCTACATACCTGCACATGCTATCACAACTGGTAGGGGTAGTCAAGTAGCCACATAGGCCCTAAAGAACCTGGGCACTACTATAATACATCTGATATCTTTCTCTCTCTATAGTAGTGTTCTGCTGGCTTTGGCTGCAGGCCAGAAAATTCATGGCTTTTTTTCCCCTGCCTTTGGTATTACAGTAACAGGGCGCTGCTGAAGCAATGCCAGAAATCATGGGCCCATGGCCTGATTCAAATAAGAAAAATCAGTCAATTTCAGCTTCTACACTGATCTCTTGACCTTGCATGTCTCCTCACCTCTTCTCACTATTAGCACAATGCTCTCTGGTGTCAAAATCAGAGAATCAGTGAAGCCATCAAATGATATGTGTTGCATCTTCAGGTACACCTTGCAGTTGGCGGGCTTGACGTCTGGAACAAGTT